CTTTGTTAAATAATATCTTTGTTAAATGTTTCAAGTAGCAAAATTCATAATCTATAAATAAGACAACTTAACTTCTTCATCTCGCATTAAAAAATAAACATTATCTACAAAATACACATTATCTAATAAAAATTTAAATAAGTAATTTGTTACAATGGAAGAAGTTACAATGGAAGAATATTACAATTATTCTGCATATGAAGGTCTGGAAGAAGAAACTTGAAATACTGATCCGAACGATCAGGAATTCGTGTTTACTCATAATTATCTGGTTGCAACTAGGGCAAAAGATTTATTAGAAGGTCAAGTAATACAAGATGAAGATAATGATATCGAAGATACATTATCTGGGTATAATGATGATGAAGATGATGATATGGATTATTATAAAATTTCAGAAATTACAACAAAAAAATGTTCACCATGCATTATTGTTGATAATTTAAGTGGAGTAATTGGGCGTTGCAATTCAGTAGAGTCTCTAGTATCATTGACACAATTAGTCAGAATATGGGAAATAAAATTGACTTCAGAAGAATCTTTAGATTTAACTGAGTTGGGAGTTTGTTCTAATCATTTCAACTTCGATCATGGGCAACTTCATTCATCTGGTACTAAATCATTAAGATGTTATACTAAAAGTTTAGTTTATAAAAAAAAGTGCTTACTTTGTAACGAATATAAAAATTTCTTTAGCCGAGGTAGTGATTGCATAAAACATTGTTAGAATATATGCAAGAGAGACGTTCAAGTTCTATGTCTTGGTTTGAAGTCGTGCCCAGTATTTTATAAAATTCTAAATATTACTTCGAGGTTTACTATTAATGATAGACATGTTAGATATATCTGTACAAAATGCTTTGAAAAACATGGTGAGCATCTTCATAAATGTGCAGGATCTGAAAAGTCTCAAACATGTATCGATAATCAATTGCATGTAGAAGATACTAACCATATTTTAAAGCTTTTCTCATCTTGGTTATTTAACCTCTCGCATTCCCAAAATGAAAATAAAAAAGAAGTATTACAGCATATTATAAATTTATTAGAAACCCCGGGCCTGGGATCATCATCTTCTTCTTCGATAGATACAGAGTATGATTTACCTAGCCTATTGCTTGTAAAAATTGTCATGAAAATTAAGAAGTTTGATTCTTCTTCGCCTACAGATAAAAAACTTGTAAAAGTAGAAGAATACCATCAATTTGGAGAAATGTTAGGAAATACAATATGTAATTTACATAAAGATATTGAAAAAAATCGTAATAAATTAAAAAACCCCTCCTCATTAGATGAATATTATAACAATTTTCCTTCGGTTCTTATTGGTTTTTTGATGGATTAATCGAATCTATTGAAAGACGAAAATATGAAGTAAGAAAAAAAAAAAATAGACAACATGAAAAAAAGGAACCTGAATTTAATAAAATTGCTATAAAAAAGATTACATCATTTCTTGCATCTATTATTTTAATAATAACATTTCGTTCATGGAAAATATGGTTTACTTATACCATGGCTTCTTTATGTAAAAAGCCTAAATTAATATCTTCCCTGCAAGCCATATTACGTACGATATATATTATATCTTATACCTGGAAACATGAAACAAGATTGGAAAAAGAGTATATAAACAAATCCAATCCTTTGGCAAGATTAATCAAAGGTCCGAATATATGGAATGTTGCTGTAATTGATAACATTGACTTCAAGAATATTGTTTTTAAATATAGAAATATATATAATGTTATACAGCAATCTGCGCATGCCACTCTAAGAATGGTGTTTCAATTTGAACTTCCATTCAATCTCTTATCTCTTGCTCAAGTAAATCCAGAATCTCAACCAAATTTATTTGGTCAATCTGTATTTATGTCCAATTGGGATGAAAATTTTGATAGAATAATAAACCAATTAATATTTAGGTATAACAAAAATTTTGGAATTGAAGAAATGAATACCAAAATACTTTCCATTGTTGAACCAGGGTGTTGAGTAAACCCACCAAATGTTGTTATATTAGAACCCGGACCAGCACCTAATAGCAATGAAGCCATGTTTAAATCAATTGATATGTATTTAGGGGATCTTGAACAAAATGTTGTTGATTTAGCATGTGATGTAGCTATTTTTGCAAGAACAAAAAAATATGCAAATAACAACTTAACTTGTAGATTTATTCTTGGACAATGGCATAC